ATTGGACGACAACTACACAATACTGGGAATCATAGTCTAGCCAGGTCGAAGCACATATTTGGGGAATACAATTCAATGCATAACAGCTACTAACTGAAAGGTTGGAAGTTCAAATCCACCTGTAGGCACCTTAGAAGAAAGTCCTGGCAGTTTACTTCCAAACGATCACAGCCATTGAAAATGCTATGGAGCACAGTTCTACTCTGAAACACATGGGGTTGCCATGAGTCAGAATCCACTCGACAGCAACCAACTTGGTTTTTGTTGGTACTTAACTATTATGCCGCACTGTCTTCCCTGGGCTAGATCTTGGCCACAGGCTGCCCCAGGTGGTCTCTCCCAAGGGCTCTTTCCTGACAGTGTCAGGTTGTCATAACCTTCTCTGGGCTGTGGAGGATCTCAGGGCTGGCATTTCCTGGCCCTCATAAGATCTGCTGCTTTTCCAGGACTCACTGAGGACTGGAGTTGGGGAGAATCAGAGAGTAGGGAGATCAGAGTGCACCAGTGAACACTGCCCTCAAGACTGAAAAGGACTATGTATCTCAGAGTTCTGACCCCACAGACCTGGCAGAAAGTCCCTCCGCTGACCACACCCTTTCCCTCTCTTCCTTTTGCTAGGCTGAGCTTGTGGTGTTTTCAAATAGTACTAGATTCAGAAGTCAGAAGCCTGGCTTAAGTCATGAATCTGCTACCTAATAGCTATGTGACCTTGGGCAACTTGTTTCATGTCTCTGAGGCTTGGCTTTTTCATCTCTAAAATGAGAATGAAAATAATAGCTAAAATGTACTGAGCCCTCACCATGCACCAAAACAAGCCTGGGGGACTTGCTTGTGAATTATAAAGAGCTGAACAACTGCAAAGCATTATGGTCATTATTCTGATCCTTGCTCTAAACACTGCTCTTCTCTTTGGTTACTTCCATTATAGCTGATTTTCACCTTTCATCTGCTCCCAGGTGACACAGGACCCCGGCCTTCTCTGAAGGCTCTTCCAAGATCTTCCATTATCTTACAGGTGGCTAGGCCTGTGCCAGAAGAATGTGGGGTATAGAGAATTCAGGTTAATGTTGCCTCTCCCAGTCACTACCACGTTGCTCTACTTAAAATTATTTTAATATACCTTTCCGTGAAAGGTTCCTAGAGAAAAGTGCGCATATCGTGAGTGCTCAATGTTATCAAAAAACAACTTCATCTGTGTGACCTTTGTAGCCACCACCCAGTAAAGAAACAGAACATTACTAGCAGCCCAGAGGCCCTTGCTGTGCCTCATTTGTGCTCCTTCCCAATCACTACCACAGCTTCCTCCCCAAAAGGAATAACTATCTTTACATCTAACACCATAGATGCATTTTCCCTATTTTTGCACTCTACATAACTACAATCATACAGTATTTAGACTTATATGTTCAGCATCTTTTACACAACTTGATGTTTGTAAGAGTCATCCATGTTGTTGTGTAGCAATGGTACATCTATTTTCATGGCTTTCTAGTATTCCATTTGCTATGAGTTAAACTGTATCCTCCCAAAATACGTGTTGGAATCTGAACCCCTATACCTGTGGATGTAATCCTGTTTGGAAATAGGGTTTTCTTCATTATGTTAGTTAACTCTTCAGAGAGTAGGGTGGATTCTGAATCTAATCACTTCTGAGTTATAAAAAGGGCAGATTAGACACAGAGATAAATACACATGGGGGAAGACACAGACACCATGTGAGGATTATCTGCAATCCAAGGAACCAAGGAATGCCTGGGACTACCTATAAAGAAGGAATCAACATGGCTGAGACCCTGATTTGGACTTTCAGCCTCCAGAACTGTGAGAAAATCAATTTCTGTTCTTTAAAGCCATCCATTTGTGGTATTTCTGTTACAGCAGCACTAGGTAACTGAGACATCATTATATAAATACCAAAAGAAACCAAACCCATTGCCACTGAGTCAATTCTGACTCGTAGTGAACCTATAGGACAGAGTAGAACTGCCCCATAGGGTTTCCAAGGAGCAGCTGGTGGATTCCAACTGTCAACCTTTTGGTTAGCAGCCAAGTTCTGAACCACTGTGCCACCAGGGCTCCTATATAAATACAGTACACCTAAATTTATTAATAGGAGTCCCTGGGTGGTGCAAACAATTAACATGCTCAGCCGCTAACCATAAAGATTGGAGATTCGAGGCATTTTGGAAGAAAGTCTGGATATCTACTTCTAAAAAATCAGCCATTGAAAATCCTGTGGAACACAGTTCTACTCTGACGCTCATGGGTTGCAATGAGTCAGAATCAACTCAATGGCAATCTTTTTTTTTTTTTTTTGGTTAACAACCCCACAACATGTCAACCCTCTCCTTTAATGGTATTTTTTTTTTTTTTTTTTGGTTAAATTTACTAATTATAGTTGTTGCATATTCAGGTTGTTTCAGCTTTTGGTTATTATAAACACTGTTGCTATGAACATTCTTACACGTGTCTTATCGTGCATATAAGTATGCATTTTTGTTTACCCTATTTATTTGCTTTTTAATAAAAAACCAAAAAACCAAACCCATTGCCCTCTAGTGAATTCTGACTCATAGCAACCCTATAGGACAGAGTAGAACTGCCCCATAGAGTTTCCAAGGAGCACCTAGTGGATTCAAACTGCAGACCTTCTGGTTAGCAGCCGTGGCACTTAACCACTACACATCCAAGGTTTCCATGCTTTTTAATACTTATCATTATTTTAATTTCTTTTATCCATTTGTGTATTTAATTTACTGTCTCTCCACCTTCCCTCTCCACACTGCAACGTCAGCTCCACGAAAGCAGGGACCTTGTCTGTCTTGTTTGTAGCTGTATGCCCAGTGCTTAGAACTTGGCACAAAGAAGGTGCTCAGCAGAACGAATATTTGAAGATAACAGAAACTTACATGGGCCTAGCATGTAGGATTGGATTTATGAGGTGCTTTCACATATATGGAGCCCTGGTGGCACAGTGGTTAAGACCTCGGCCGCTAACCAAAAGGTCAGCAGTTTGAATCTACTGGCTACTTCTTGGAAACCCTGTGGGGCAGTTCTGCTCTATCCTATAGGGTCGCTACTCGATGGCAATGGGTTTGGTTTGGTTTTTGGTTTCACATATACATTATCTTACTTAGTTCTCACTAGAATCCTATGACATACTGTTAGTATTATCATTCCCATTTTAGGAAGAGGAAACAGGCTCAAAGAGGTGATGGGCCTTATCTAAGATTATTCAGATGGCAACACATAGAGTTAAGATTTGAATCCAGCTTAATCTGACTCCATATACAACACTCTTTCCACTGTATCCTATTTGTCTTACAGGATTGGAGAGGCCCAGGATTGAAATCCAGAGCCACAGAAGAGTATAGCTTGCCTTCTGTTTTCTGATGTTCTAGAGCAGCGGAAAGACTATGGGGAGTTAGGGAACTGGGAACTTTCCACCAGAGGGCAAAAACCATGTCTTATTCACTTCTGTGTTGCCAGAGCCCAGCACAAGGCCTTGTTACAAGAGGCCCAATGAATGTTTATCAAACTGAACCCCTGTGAAGTCACTTGAGACCTTGAGCTACTCACTTTGACTTTCTCAGCCCTCAATTTACTCTTCTGCAAAATGCAGACAGCATTTCAGTAATTTCAATAGTTCTCAGCCCTAGCTGTACATTAGAATCATCTGGGGACGTTTTGAAAAAATACCCATGCCTGGCACCAGCCTTGTGTTTTTGTTGTTGTTATTTGCTGTTGAGTCAATTCTTACTCATGGAGACACTGAATCCAAATCGCTGATGGTGGGTTCCAGGCAAGGATATTGTTTAAAAACTTTCCAGTGAGTCCAGCCATGATCTCCCTTGAAACCTGACCAATTCTAACCTACACCATCGGTTCAAATCTCAGCTGTACTATTTACGTGCTAACTAGAAACTCTTTTTGTCTCAGTTTCCTCATATGTAAAATTGGAACCATGATAATTGTTCTATGTGTTAAGCTCCATTCTAAACACTTGAAATTCATTATCTCATTTAGCCATCACAGTAGCTCTCTGATATTGGTACTACTACTACTATTTCCACTTTACAGATGAGAAAGCTGTGGAACAGAGAGGTAAGTAACTTGCTCAAGGTCACATGGTACGACAATAATATATCCTTTACAGAATTATTGAGAAGCTTTCACGAGACTGCAAGCGTGGATGTGAAAGCACTTTATAAAATAGTAAAGCATTTTACCTAAGTGAGTTAGAATCTTTGTAGATTCAGGACTTCTTTATTTTATTTTATTTTTTTGCTATTTTTGACTCTCCTTTCTCTTCCTAGGAGCCCTGGTGGTGTAGCGGTTAAACTGCTGGCTGCTAACCAAAAGGTCAGCAGTTCGAATCCACCAGCAGCTCCTATTCAAACCGCTGACCTTTTTGGTTAACAGCCAAGCTCTTAACCCCTGTGCCACCGGGGCTCCAATCAAAAGGTAGGTGGTTGGAATTCAATGGCACTCCGCAGTGGAAAGATGGGGCAGTCGGCTTCCATAAAGATTTAAAAAAAGAAAAGATCCCTTACCATCCAGTCAATTCCAACTCATAACAACCCTACAGGACAGAGTAGAACTGCCCCATAGGGGTGCCAAGGAGAGGATGGCAGATTTGAACGGCCAGCCTTTTGGCTAGCAGCCGAGCTCTTAACCACCGAGCCACCAGGGCTACGCAAGGTCCGAGCCCCTATCGGGTAATTCTACTCTGTCCTGTAGGGTAGCTGTTTGTCGGAATGGATTCGACCGCAGAGGGTTGGTTTTTGGATCTCTCTTCCTACGCCATACCTCTCCCTCGGTGACAGGGGGCGCTGCGCTGCGCGGGCACTGACAGGTCCCTCTAACCCGCTGCACCGGCCACTCGCTGGTGCCTATAAGACACAGCGCCGGGCTCAGAGCCGCTTCAGTGCACTGCCGCTGGGGGTGGGGTGAGGGTTATTCTGGGAGCTGGACGCCGAGCAGCTGCTGCTGGGCCGAGGCGGAGCGCAGCGCCTCGCCGGGGCCGCAAGGAGGGGCGTGTTGTCGTCGGCCCACAGCGAACCACCCCGAGCCCGCGCTGAGGCGCCTTCCGCTTCCCTCCATTTCCCCGGAATCTCAGCCCGGCGCGCCAGGATCTCGGCCCTTTTCTGGGTGGGGAAGCTCCGGGCCGCTTTCCGGCTTCACTCCTTTATCGCAGCCTGGGCTCCCAGCCCACTTTCTCCCTTTTCCTGGACTGGGTCCCACCCCTCTCGGTCCCCTTCCTGTAGCCCCGGCTCCCTACCCCTTCCGTTAGCCCAGAGTCCCAGCGTACCAGCTCCTCAGTCACTTTCCTCAGCCAAGATTCCCAGTCTTCCCTCTTCCTTTCCCTTGCCTGGGATCTAACCTTCCCTGTCCCTTCCTCTGCTTCAGGGCTCAGGCCCCTGCCCCCCTTTTCCAAGCCTGGGGCTCCAGACCTTTTGGTCTCCTCCAGTAGTCCTTCCTGGGTCCTTGTCCCTTCTTCCCAGTTTGGAGTCTCAAATCCTAGTTTCAAAACTTGGGGTTTTGAAAACCCCTTGGCTTCCCCTTTCCCTCAAAGGACTGCTTCCACGAAAATACCTCCTTAAAACATGAACTTTTCTTAGACTACCCCATACTCTTCCCATCTGCTGACCCCTTGCTACCTATGTCCCAGGTCTTACTCCCCCTTTGCTAAAGGTTGAGGCCTTCTGGGTGGAGGGAGCAGGATGATGCCTCTGTGGTCAGGCATCTGTGGCCTCTCTCCGCCACGGATCTTCCCTTCGTTGCTCGTGGTGGTAGCCTTGGTGGGGCTGCTACCTGTTCTCAGAAGCCATGGCCTCCAGCCCAGCCCTACTGCCAGCACCATCCGGGGCTCAGAGCCACCACGGGAACGCTCGATTGGGGATGTCACCACTGCCCCACCAGGGGTCATCCCAGAAAGCCGCCCTGTTAACCATTCTGTCACTGAAAACCACATAAAGCCACGAAAGCCCTTTCCAGTCCTTGGCATCGACTACCTACATGTGCGCACACCCTTCGAGATTGCGCTCTGGATTCTGCTGGCCTGCCTCATGAAGATAGGTAAGTCCACGTTACTCCAGTACTGCTACTGCCGCCACCACCAGACTGGTGACCTGGCTCACCTTTTACCCTTCAGGGCTGCCCAGGAATAAGGGTCTGGACTATTCCTGTAACATAGGCAGCCTCCATCCTGCCATCTTTTTCCTTCTCGAACTTGAGCTCTGTGGCCTTTTTGGTTCTAAGGCTTGCCAAGATTGGAACCAGCATCGTGGGGAAGAGCAGGCAGGATGAGAGGATAGAATGCTTCTGATACTAGGTACCTTCAGCAAGGCTTCCAAGCTTGGTAAGTCTCCTTTGGCTGGGCCAGACCTCATGGGGAGCCAGGCATCCAGCTGTGTGAGACAGTGAGGAGCATCTTCCATCAAGTGGCACATTCTGTTTTGTCATCAGCAGCCAGTGCAATTACACGCTTCATGGTAGGGTGGCCCAGGATGGAGTATATTTCTAGTTGGCCTGTCTAAGGAGTTTGAGGACAGATAGAGACTTACGACTGTGTTTGAAAGTGAGGGAGCCTCGTAGTCTCACCTTCTTTCATCTCTAGAATGTTATCCATCAGCTTTGCCTGCCCAGGCTGGTTAGGAGCCCCTGAGTCAGTTTCCAGCCCAGGAATGCCATCTCTTATACAGTTTATGGATTAGGGAGCCCTGGAAATTCCTGAAGCCTGTTTTGGGGTGGAGGCAGAGTGGAGGTTGGAGCTCTGTCTGGCCTCAGCTCACTTGTAGTTTGGCACCTGGCTGTGTCTCAAGGTGCTGTCTGAGCTGGCTAGTCACATTGCCCTGCTGTTTAGCAAAGGAGGAGAAATACAGGTGGAGGGGCTAGGGATGTTTTGGTCTGAAGAGACTTGGAAACATTCTTTTTCGGGGAAAGAAACAGAAAAGTTGTTTCTCCCAGAGGGTTGTCTCCCTGCCACACCTGAGCATCCTGTTCTGCTGGGTGATTTACCAGAGCCTACATAGCCCAGATGTCCCAGTAAGTGGTATCCAGGGGTCTTTGAACACTGCCTTTGCTTTTTCAGTCCCCAGCTAGCTGTGGAAGGCACAGGGGGCCTGGGACTCTGCTCCCCTTTTGCCTGACGTTTAGGTTTGGGCTGTATGTGACTCTTGGCAGGAAGCCCAGCAGCTTTTGGAAGGACATGCTGGTGCTGAGTGGCAATGCCAGGCTGGTGTGAGACAGGCTCTGGGATGTGCTGCAGGAGAGCTCTGGTGCCTGGGTCTATCACTGACTCCGGACAGATCCAGGAATGACTTCCTGCTGCAGGGCTTTGGTGCTGAGCAGGTCACAGTGGCAGGGCCTGTGCATGGAGCTGGCCCACCAGCACCTATACCCCGATGGCAGCCAGCTTCCTGGCAAAATCAAGGACTGGACAAGGGGAGACTTGTGTACTGATTTCTGACATAATTAGACGACCTTGAACAAACTGGGGCCTTTTTCTGCTGGTCTCCCCCACCTGTGAAATGGGCAAGAATCTCTACATTTCCAATTAGGCCATGGGACTTTATGTCTTAATTTATTGGAAGAAACTAAGGTGACTATGGTCATTTGCCTGTGTGAGACCAGGAAGAGACCTCACAAGCGTTGTCTATAAATCGCCCTCCTCTCTCCAATCTCCTCGCCTCCCACATCTGGCATTGTGTTAAGGGCATCAGGGGCTGGCACACACACTCCGGGTGTCAGTGTCTGCTGGTGGGACAACAGCATGACCACAAGGACCCCGAAGGCCTGGTATCTCTAGTCCTAAAGGGGCCCGGGTTGGTCTGACACAGCCGGAGAGCTGTGCCTGGGACCCTGGGCTGCTGGACAGCAACGATGGTGCCATGGCAAGGGTGTCAGTCTAGAAATCAGGAAGCCTGGCTTCTCATCCATCTCCCTCTGTGACCTTGGGCTAGCCACGCCTCTTCACCTGGCAGCCGATCTCTGTGGTCCCTTCCAGGTCTGACGTTGCTGCCATTCCACTGACTCGGGTAACTCCGGCAAGTCACTCAGCTTTGGGCCTCAGTTTTCCCATTGTAAAATGAGGAGGTTGGATATGTTCTCAAGGGCTTTTGCAGCTCCAAAAGCCTGTGTCTCTGGTTTGGAAACACATTTTTCTGCCTCTGAAAACAGGAACTTTAGCATCTGGCCATCCTAGAGAAGAGAGTGGTGAAAAGAGTGTCCAAGATTTCCAGGGTCCCTGTTAAAGTGGCAAAGTGAAAGCCCATTTTTCCTTCACGTTTGCTCTGTAGGGACCCCTAGTGGTACAGTGGTTAAGAGCTCAGTTACTAACCAAAAAGGTCAGCAGCTTGAATCTACCAGCTGCTTCTTGGAAACCCTTTCGGGCAGTTCTGCTCTGTCCTATAGGGTCACTGTGAGTCAGAATCAACTTGATGGCAACGGGTTTGTTGGTTGCTGTATAGAATCAAGGTTAGGTATGGCTTCCACCACTCTGCCCCTTAACCTCTCAGCCTCAGTTTCCTCATGGTAAAATGGGGGAGATAAGAGTATCTAGCTGTAGGGCTGCTGATGTGACAATGACATAAATTAGTGCATATAAAGCTGACTTTGTACAGTGTTCTACGTACAGGAAGCACTTAACAAGTGGCAACTGCCCCTGTTAGTATTTTAAACACCTAAGGCAAATGCATCCCTACCTCAGCCCCTACAGTCTGCCTCTGAGGCTGGAGGGTTACAAATCAACCCTAGGCTGCCACAGAGTCCTTCCTTTAGGTTTCAGGGCATACTGACTTTGTTCTTCTTGTCAGGTTGCCTCCAGAGCTGGCACCAGTTGCCTCTGAGGTAGAGTTGGGGGTGCTGAGGCCATGCCACCTCTGCATAGAAACTCAAGAGCCTAAGAGTTTGTTTTGGTTTGTTGCCTGTTCTCTCAACACCCCAGCGTGGATAGGAGCTATGCTGGAGCCCTCATTCTGTCATCTGTGGCAGCTGCTTCCCTGGCAAGGTACCTCTCCTTTAAGAATAGAAAGTACTGCGTCCAATTCTCGTTTTTAATCCAAGAGCTCCTAATCATTGAGCAGAGAGCCTCAGGGTAGACACTTTGTCAGAGACTGGTGTGGGAGGGGTGGGATTGGAGCTGAAGTTCTAGAGCCTATGCTTCTGGGTTCTGTTCTAATTCTGATTCAGTGGGTGACCTTAGGCAAGTCACTTCCCTTCTGTGGGCCTTCTTTCTGTCTCTGACAGGGAGTCTTGCGTTCTGGGAGAACTGTGAGGTTGACCCTAAGCCGTTCCCCACCCCCACCCCACTTTGTGATTTGGGTGCTGCATGAATTCAGCTTTGTTCCCAGTTCACCTGACTCCCAGTCCAATGTTTGTTCCGAGGGAGAACCTCATACCCAGCTCACCATTGGCATCCCCTGTGTTTATTTTCCCGTGTTCCTGACCCAGAACTCTTGGCAGAGGCTCGGGAGCCCATAAAGCAGGTATTCATCTTGTCTCTTAACCAAGGACAAAAAAGCTCCCTTTGTCCCTTTACATCTTGTAGCTTTTTTTGGTTTTATCATTGCAATGTGTATCCTGTCATTTCCTCCTTAGAACAAGTCTGTGGGTGGGAGAGATGGGGTCATGATCGTCCACTTTATATGTGTGGCTATCAGACCCAGCAAGTGTTTTCCTGTAAAAATAAGACTAGAACTTGCCTCTCCCACTTCTTGACATGAGAGAGGTACAGTCTAAAGGTCACCTTGAAACTGTCTCAAGAAGTCCAGATGGGATTCTCTAAAAAGAAAGAGGTGACCTTTTCGCTTTGGGAAACAGCTGACAGACTGCAGGACAGTGGGAGGAGAGGCCAGCTGGGGACTGGGAGGAAGCCTTCAGGTAGGACTTGATGTTTCCAGAAGCACCCGGGCACTTATCGGGCCCAGGTTGGCCATATTGCCTGGACTTCATTCAGCTAAGTACCCACTACGTGCAAGATGCTGCAATATATGTGGCATGGTCTTAATTTCATTTTCACCAGCCCCCCCCCATCTAGCTCTGGTATAAAGGAAAGACTTGGTCAAAAGGCCCCCTGGGCTCTGCTCTGCCCCTGACACAACTTCTTGGTTCCCATATGACAATGGACCAGGTACCTGATTCCTCTAGAACTAACTTGTCTCTCATGAGTAAGGTGAAGCAGCTATTTTTACCTTCTAAAACTGATGTAAGGTTTGAATGTGGGAATGTCCCACAGTGCCCGGCTCGCTCTAGCAGCTTCCAGGGCCCATGCAGTTTCCTCCCCTACTGGGAGTTCTTTCCAGCCAACGGTAGCCTACAGCAGTTGCTTTCACCCTGCCCTCCTCTTTCTCCACCAACCCTTTTCTCTTATTGTTTATCCACAACTTTGGTATTAGGTTTTGCCTGCTCTGTGTCATCTCTTCTGTTGGGCATGGGTGTGTTTTAATAATAATTACCAGTTATTGACTATCTAGGGAGTAGTGTCAGGCACTTTATAAAAGTAATCTCATTTAATATCTACTAAAATCCTATGAGATAAAGGCTGTCTGTTTTGCAGATGAGGAAACAGCTCAGAGAGGTTATCTTGTGTGAGGCTGAATTGCTATTTATTTTATGCTTGAGTCTTGGTGTAGCATTTTAGAGGGTGCAGCTGCATCTCCTCTCTCTTGCAGTCCCCTCAGCCGATGCCCTGGCCCTGCACTTAGAAGGTGCCCAGCTCATACTGAGGAGCCCTGGTGGTGCAGTGGCTAAGCACTTGGCTGCTAACCGGTAGGTTGGCAGTTTGAACCCACCAGCTGCTCCTCAAGAGGAAAAAACCTGGCAATCTGCTCCCATAAAGATTGCAGCCTAGGAAACCCTATATAGCAGTTCTGCTCTGTCCTATAGAGTCACTGAATAAGAATTGACTTGATAGCACACAAAAACAGCAGCTCTCACTGAGCAGGAGCATTTGGCTGCCCAGCTCACAGCACTTGCTTTCTGGAATTTAGGAGTCCCTCTAGGGGCTGGGCAGATGTTGATGGTGGGAACCCTCTCTCAGCTTAGAAAAAGCTGTGCCTCGCTTTGGACCCGTCCTC